TGCATACTTCTGGCCAGTGGTCTTCCTCGATCATGACTCTGGGTGGCTTGGTATATATACCCAGCTTTCTTCGGGCAAAAGGTACTTGTCAAAATCTTCCACATATGCCTTTGTACCAAGTTTGCAAAACGTTCCAGCTCAAGTTCAAGAGAGGCTACCCCCTCGGGGATCGCGGGCCAATGCAATTTCTGTGCAAATTTCACTTCATCACCTGTATAGTCTATATTCTTCTTGCAAAAAACTCATGAAAAGAAACGTGCGATTCCGACACCTCCCACATTGCGTTTCGATGAGCTGATCAGGGGGAAGATACCATTCCTCATAGTTCGTTCTGCCCTGATCGAGGTAGAGCGCATCAAATTCTCGTTCTGAACATAGGCCGTCGCCCAGGAGTAGGTTTTCGCCATGGTGAAATCTTTCACATACTCGTCAACCTCCCTTTGGCCAGGAGGGACCAAAAATACATCAGCAGTTGAAGGGCAAGGTCCTGCCATAGAAGCCTGTAAACTCGCTCCAGCAGTGTCTTCGCCAATCTTCTCTTGCTGAATCTTCATGCATCCATTCTCCTCTTCCAGGAGGGCCTCCCTGCCACGAGGAGGCTCTCCCGAGCACCCATCTCTTCCTCTTCTCTGCTCTACTTCTTGCTGTCCTCCTTTCTGTCTTTCTTTCCTTTGCCTTTGTCTTTTCCTTTGTCCCCTCGATCGCGGTCCTTCTCCTTGCCTTTGAACTTGCCCTTCTCGGAGTCTCTTCCGCCCACGCGATTGAAGACCTTTGACTCTTCGCTTGCGTGGCACCCAACGCGCCACAGCTCTCCTGTGGAGGAGAGTGAGGCCTTTTCCGGAGGGACAAGCTCCATTGCTCGAAGTACCTCGGGCTTCACGCCCCTGCACGCTGCCTCTAGTGTTTTTAGCCTTTGGCACGCGAGATCCGCGGCGCTGGCGATCTTGCCTGCCAGGAGGAGCAATATCGACCAATGGATGGTCTCTCTCACCAGCGGGCCTTGCATCCCTGATGTCAAAACCTGACACGCATATTGAGCCATCAGGGGCGGTACATTCGAAGAGCTGCTCTGTGCATGGCCTCCCAACTGAACCAAGAGGCTTTGCCGAGCCTCCGCAACCATTGCACTCGTAAGGCTGCCAGGGTACTTTTCCAAACCTGTTGCGCCGGCATTGGAGCTTCGAACAATTCCTGATCGCCCTCCAAACTGGCTCCACTGCTGCTGCTGCTGGATTCCTCGCTGTCCGAGGAGGAGGAGCGCTTCTTGTTTCTGCCTTCTCTGTAATCCTCCTGGCTCGCTTCCGAATCTTCTTCCTCACCTCTGGATCTGGGTCGAGACCAGTCTTGCCATAGATCAAGCTCAACTCCTTGGTGCCTTCCACCCTGATCCTCTTGCTTCTTCTAAGGCCTCTCCCGTTCCTCCAGGAGGGGCTGCCACCTCGCCACCTGTTGCCGCTCCTCCACGGCCTTTTCCTCGATCTCATCTCCTCCGACTCCGGCTCAACTCGTCGTCCCCACCTGGAGTCTCCTCCCGATGTCCCAGGAGGCTATTGAGTCCAACTCCACTTCCTTGATCTCCGTGGTGTGCATGAGGTTGTCTGGCCACGCTTTGACTGGGCGTGGATTGGGACACAGGTGCAATACCATCTCCCTCTTTGGATCTGCTTGACATGGCTCTCAACACCGCTTCGTTGTTGGTGCCTGTAACCCTGACAACCACTTCGCGTTGACCTCCCGCGAATCGCATCTCGATCAAGTTGCCAGCTATCTCCGCATCTTCCTCCCAATAGGCTCCCTTTGCTTGTAATATCTTCCACCCCGCAATCCCCTCCAGGGTGAGCTCCTCCACTTTTTGCCATTCTCCTCCCAGGGGTCTCCCCCCGTCTTCTACCTCCTCGTGAGCTGCTGGTCTTCTCCTTGTCTTCGGAGCGGCTGCTGGCCTGGCCAATCGTCTCATCGCCTACGGCCAAAAAAATGCCCCGTCGTCGGTCCTCCCAGTACACCTCGTTTCGGAGGGTATGTTTCTTGCCCTTGTTCTTTGTTTTCTTTCTGTTCTTGAAGGCCGGAATAGGACCAATCCAATTCCCTGAACGGCGACGAAGAGGAGGATAGATAGTAGGAGTAGGTCAACCTCTGGTTCAGGGCTAGGGCGGCTACCTCTGGCGGCGCCTCCTGGATTCTGGTTCCCTGATCGGCTTCGATCCCTTCTCTCCGGTTGGGGCTTACTCTTTGAAGCCAGGTTCAAACTCTTCGACTTCCTGGCTTGATCACGTTCTCCTCGGTCTGGAGTCTTGTCGCCACGGGCCCTGTCTCGCTCACTCCTCTCTTTCCTTCGACCCCGAGTGTGCTCTGGAGCCGTTGAGGGTCCTGGATACTTCTTCCGGCTCGATGCAGGCCGGCTTTCAACTCGATTCCGTGGCAAAGGATCTCGTCGATCTGCTGTCTTCTTCTGCGGGGACCTTGGCAAAGGACTTCGCTCTTCCACCCACGCTTCAACCAAGGGTTCAACTTCCGTTTCCTGCTCCTCCTCTTGTTTCACTTCCTGAGGGACTTCCTCTTCCTTTCTCCGCCTCCTTCTTCGCTCTCTGTCGCTTTTTCTCTTTGGGCAACTCCTCAATCGCCTCCTCCTCCACAGGGACTGAGCCTGTTGCAGGGACAGTTGAGCCTCCGGGCGCTGTCTCTGCTGCTGAGCCACTCCTCTCTAGAGAAGCAGCTCCTCCACCAGGGGATCTCTCCCCCGTGCCCGCTCCCGAGGCCCCAGGAGCGTCTGACCCACCGCCTTGATGAAGTCGATGGGAAAGTTCAAGAAGGCGGATGTAGGTGCCCTCGAGAATCCGCGTGGCACCCTCTCGAAGACCTGGAGAACTGCCTGGACCAAAGAGAACCACAAAGACTTTCTCAAAGGCCTGGCAGCAATCGCAAGAGCACTTGCCCGGCTCGTGAGTCAGCCTTGACATCCAAAGCTGTGAGCCGAGATGTACTGCATCGAAGACATACCGGCGACGACTCGTTTTAACATACGGGCCGATTAATATGGCATATCCCCAAGTCCTCAGCATCCTCAGCCTCCCTTTTTCGCTCGGCGGCATCAAGCTGCTCCTGCGGAGCATTATATACAGTAATTAGCGGAGCATTGCGGAGCTGCTAAAATCCGGAGCTGCAAACATGTGAAACCAAACCAAAGACATCCAAAGACCCTTGAGACTTCATTAAATTCACTTCAATGTGTCATGTACCTAATGTGTCGGCTCCAAATCTGGTAATTAGAGCTGCCCTCCCCAAAGGAAGCATTAGTTGGAGATACAAAGGCCAAGTAACGAGCATCTGGTGAATTGATTCTACGACGGATGAATTCAAACTTTTTCATGCTTTGCAAAGCACCTTTTGATTCTGTAGGATGTGGAGCTCCCCTGCTTGAGGCTGGGGAATTAGATTGCTGTTGTTGGCATGAAATGCTTGTCCAGGGCTCTTTTCTTAGTCTCCTCATTCTGCAGGCTCTTGTCCACAAGCTCCTCATTTTCCTGCGACCAGGCTCAACTTGCTCACGCGCATGCCGCAGAAGTACACATTTTAGTCCGTGAGGACAGCATGTTCGGACGTTCCATCACTAGCGTTGTCAAGCGATCACTCCACGCAGCACAACACCGCCGACCTGAGCCGATCCATCGGTGAAGAGCACATCCAGGGCCTCCTCATCCTCGTCTTCATCTGGCGGACTGATGGGTGTGCCGCCGGGTCGCTCGACAAGACAATGTTAGCAACTCAATCAACCAAATGTACCAAATCTTGCCACACAATGCTACCCAAGCGCCATTCTTAAAGAGTGGGCATGTTCAGTCCGACGGTCCTTTTTTATTGTTTCTTAGTTAGAGTTGTAGTGAAGGTCAAAAGTACGTTTAAGATGGCCGGACTGATGGCCGGCACTGTGCCCTCTGAATGGCTCCAATAATCAAATTACCACTGAAGTGGAACATTGGAGATGACAAATTATTGCCATCTGTAATCTGTATAATTGCTAAATTACCCACTTAAGTTCACTAGACTCTAGATTTTTCCTTTCTATTTGTTATTCTCACTTGACAACTTGACAATGGCGTGTGAGATTTCACATCAGAATTGGCTTTGGCACCCTGTAGATTCCCTCCCGCTCAAGTTTGGAGACAATCCCCAAACACGAAAAGAAGCAGGGGTGGACTTACCACATTCCACAGTATCGGGGAGGGGGCGAGGATATTGTGCCCCCAAATGTCAGCTTACAGTTTCTGATTTCGAAACCATCTCTGATTTTCGGTGCTACAGTCTCAGCTGCACATTAAACATGCCCTTTCCCGATGCCTGCACCTTGACAGCCACAGGAGAAGATCACCACATTACGAGCACATGCGATTGAGCCTACCAAGGAGCCACTGACCATGTGCCAACACGGTCGCCCGGCGCCTTCTGCTTCTGGGGCATCTGCCTGGTCAGCTGAAACTGAAGTATCCCAAAGTTCTCTGCAGTTGACAGGGTGAAAATGATTGAGCATGGCTTGGGCATCTTCAAAAGAATGGGAGGGGTCGGATATATACCTTCGGTCGAACGCACAAGACCCCAAATTGGCTACAATGGCCCCAATTGCGTCCCTTCAAGTCAAAATGCGCTCAAATCATTCCCATGGCCTGACATAAGTCAACAAAACCTGCCAACCTGCCATCCTTCAATCAGTCAGCGGTCCCTGCGGTCCTCCTCCACATCGGATGATGCTTTCTTGGCCTTCCGGTTGCCAAGATTGAAAAGAGTTATTTTTCTGGCGCTCAGTCTGGAGTTTCATCATTTCCAAAGGGCTGAACTGTGGAGATCTGTTGGTGAAACACAAATCCTCGCACTTGATTTGCTCAGACCAACATCTCTCCATATATCGAATGAGGGGCTGCCAAATACTACAAGAGCTGAGTTCATGGTGGCGGGTGGCTTTATAGATGTGACACCGGTTCTTCAGCTGATTGTGACACCTTCAGCCTTCAGCTTCCACCATTTCGTACCTTCCGGATCCGGACTCGCCTCGCCTCCGCCTGTCGAGCTTCGGACTCAGCTTGTTGCAGACTGGCAGAACCTTCCTTCCAGAACCTCGGCGTGGTGGGAGAATGGCTTCAATCTTTAAAGCTGATTGAAAGGATTGAAAGCTGATGTAAAGGATGATTTTAACACATAATGTTACATAAAGCCGCCTTGAAACAGTCAATTAGCAACCTAGCATTGGTGGAAAACAACTTTGGCAAAGCGATATGGCGACAAGTCAATAGAAGGACGTTGAATTCATGGACCGTTCAACACCGTAAAATCAGCCAAGACGGTGCCCAACGAATGACCCCATCGGCCGGCCCAGTCAGGCCTTTCACCAGCCAGCAGCTTCTTTCGACGCTCTTGAAGAAAGGTCTCGCTGCCGACCTCGCAGTAGAAGAGGTACTTCCTGGCGATTGGGCTGGGCATGGCTGTGCATTTGCTGCACCCTAGGCAAAAGCTCTACATATCCGACAAGAACTTTGTGTGCAAAAATAACAACTGAGCTCGTGTAGTGTTGGCTCCTAGGAACGAAAAGTGCTTTGGACGACTTACCTTACCTTCGCAAGCTCTTCAACTTGCTAGCCAAACCTCAAACTTAATTCAAGTCTTACTGTAATTACTTTCGGATCCACTGCGCCCAAACCCGTTGCAAACCATTGAAGAGTCCGAGCAGGCCCTCCCTTGGTGAGTCACTGCTTCCAAGGTGCCCAACTCCAAGTGTAGTTCCATCTCGAAGAGCGACCGGACCATCAGTATGTCGGATCTTCCTCAACTCCAGCTACAATGAATGATGTGTCACGGATCTCCCTCTATTTGATGTAAATAGGAGCCGTGCAAACGCTCGTCAAAGGGGGGAAATGCTCTCTTCAACCCCCGACTGTTTTCTTCGACTCCAAAGACCTCCAAATTGCTGGCCAAATCGCTGGCCATCTACCAGCGTCCCGATTTGGGACTCCAATGCCATGACGTAAAAGTCATTGCCCATGCGGTGTAGCTTGCAGTGCTGGTCCTGGCCCACACGACCCTGTCCACTTGGTCCTTGGGCCCTTCGTCTGCAATCCTTCTGTGAAATCGAATCAAGAAGGTCTACAAACAACAACGCTCTTGCATGTACACTGCTTGCTGGCTAAACAACATGTTCTTAGCACATGAATCATGAATCATCATAAATCAACACGCAATCTTTCCTGGGTTCTAGATGTGACTGCACTACGCACAACTCGTAATGATCTTACTCTACATGTAGGACGTAGGCTTTTCCAAACTGGCAAAACGTCGCAGTGTCTTCGCTGCACTTGTGCAAGCTCTATTTTATTCAGCCTCGCCGTCCAGCTGCTGAACACCATGCAAAATGTGGGCTAGATCTTCCATTCCCCGACATGCAAACATATCCAAACATACTTTGGTCCTGTACGTCACCGTATAGCTTGGATGCTTCTTTGGGGCCTCGAGCCAAACACCGCTTCCGCGGGACATCTCAGGTTGACCGAAGCGGGACATGTGCGGAATCATCAGCAAGAAATCATAAGAAATCTGTAGACCACGTACAGTAGATTCAGAACATGCTTGATTCATGTGCTTGGTGTATGTTGTCAATTTTCAAACATATTTGCAGCCTGTCACCACACAGGGACGGATGATCACGTTAAGTACTCGCAGGTCTTTCAGCAGCACATACTCAAATAACTCTGGATACAATCCTCACTGAATGAAACAAACTCGGGTCCCAACAATCAATCATCTCAACCAATCTAACAAACACTAACAAACGATCTTTCCCTACTGGCCCTAAATGGCCCTATACCGACTTCATTGCACAGCTACGCGCCTAAGGCCATGTTCACCTCCGCCTCGATGACCTGCTCCTCGCCCTCCTCCGGAGCACGGCCAATCACCGCGCTGCTCCGCAGGGGGATCGTCTCGCAAATCTCGCCGTCCAATTCGCCTCGTTGAGACGCCGATTCACTGAATCTTTAAAAGGCCCGCTCCTACCAGGATTAAGTAGGCGATGACTTGATTAAGTCAGTAAGGGCGACTAGTATCGACTAGTTAGCTTTTAGGTAGGACGCAGGATAGCTCACGCCTGAAGCTCCCCGCCTGAGGGCTGAAGAAATGCTTGCACAAATGATTTGGTTCCTACTAGTAGATTTTTAGGGAAAGCGGGGGCGGATGAATGCTGATGATGCCTGGCAGACTTCCAGCGACCAAAAGCGAGCAACGTGTCAAATTTTTGCTAGTCGTGCAAGGTATGCTTGGTGATCCAGGTCTTTCACACAAGTCTCAGTGCATCGCCTGAAGAAATGACGCAGTATGCATGCAAGCTCCCCAAAAAAACATCAACACTGATGCAATGAATTTTAACTTTGAGCAACATGGTGCTCCATCTGGCCCTTCGGATCCCTTTGGTCCATCTATTCGATCGTCCTCGGGGTCGTTCGTCCCAAGTGTCCATCTTCGTAGAGCGCTTCCAATCTCCAGCGCTGGGGGAACTTAAAGAGCTGGGCCATGTATCCTGGATCTCTTCTCAGGTGAGGCCGTTTCCAAGGAGCTGAGGTACGTGATACAAACGGCATTTCATACATCCCCTACAGTACTCGTCATTACTTTTAAGTCATTACTTTTCTCGTTGCAAATCTCTTAGATCTCTTGTCTTTGTCGCTTCAAGTGCTAAGCCCACAGACTCCCAAAACAGGTGGACTTTTGTGAGATGAATTCGATATCGTTTCGGTCAAACCTGGGGCCTCAAAACTGATTCGGATGACAGCACATCGCTTTTTTGATATTTTTGATCACGTCTCTCCAGGGGTATTGTCACGCACGACGTCCTCTTAAGGCATTGGCCGGTTTGGCTTTCCTTAGTCAAACACTCAAGCAAAAACATGTTGAAAGTGAGACATGCCAAGTCGTGGAATCTGAAATCTCTCCGAACCGGGAAGTGTCTTGGGACTGACGAATTCATGGGTCAGGTCGTGATTGCAGGAGAGGCTCATGGGCTTGAAGTGACGAATCAGGTAGCCTGGGATGCACGACACACAGTGAGCCACAACTTCATGCCACATCTTTTGATTTCATGTGATTTCTATCCCGGACTCCATCATCAATGTGACGTACAGAGGGTCAAAAGTGCATCCATTCCGGACCTGCCACCCTCGTCATTTCTGGCAAAGCCAGGATGAGCCAGGGAACGTTGGAGCTGTGCATCCAACTTCGCCAGCTTTCTTGCCATCACCGCCTTGAGGCCATGCTCCAACCTGAGACCAAAGGAAGCATCAATAGACTTGAAAAGCGTCACATCATACATGTTTTCTTTTTGTGCTGGCATTCTCAATATGATCGCCATTCTGCTCTTTTTGCTTGGCCGTCCAAGGCATCCAAGGCACGCGAAGTCGCTGAGACCACGCACGCCGCTCTTGGCGGCCTCGGAGCCGGTCTCGGTGCCTGGGGCGCCACGTCATCGTTCACAGTCTCAGCAGGAAGCTCTGGTCTATCTGGTCCTTGTTACTAGTAGCTTCTTACTACTAGTAGTAGTAAGGCCAGGAGCACGTAGTAGCGTTCTTGCTCCCAGTAGCGATGCTAGGAGCCCCTAGTAGCGTCCTTGCTCCTAGTAGCGATGCCAGGAGCCCCTAGTAGCATCCTTGCTCCTAGCAGGGATGCTCTTTGTTACTAGTAGCTTCTTCTTATTGGTAGTAGTGCTAGGAGCTACGTTCGTAGCGTCCTTGCTACTAGTAGTAGCAATCTGTCCCTGTTCTAGTAGCTTCTATCTTGTCCATGTCCATGTCTATCTTCATGAATTCTCCGTTCGTGTGTCGGAGGACATCTGGAAAAACACCTGGAACATCCTGAAACTAAGGATTGACTTTGGGGCAACTTGGATCCGCATGAGGCATTTCCCTTGGTACAGAAAGCCCAAGCTGGTGGCACATAGTTCTTCAGGTGATTCAGCCATTGTCATTGACTCGCCATCCGCATGCCACTAGAGCTGATCTATTCAAACAAGCAGTGCAAAAAACTTCAAGAACACCAGCCACAAAAAGGGAGAGGCCAACTCTTGAGAAGCAAGCTGCGTTTCTTCTCTAGGAGTTGCTGGCTCCAGTGCTTCTGCACCTCACAAAGGCAACATTACGGGAGGACTGTGTCAGCCTCGCATGAAGGCGTCAAACTTGTTTGCATGTCTACATTTCCAGAATGCCCCCCTCATCTGGACTGAGCTTCCCTCGGGCACTCACTAGAAAACCATTTGTTTTGAACATATTTATGTACAGCAATTAGTAGCTGCAACCAACAGATTCCTTCCCTCACCTCACTGTCTCGCGCAACATTTGTCTTATAGTTGCATAATAGTTGCTAGTAAGCCAACCGGTGCAGCACCAAAAATTCCGCGGCCTTCTCTGCCATCTTCAAACCCAGGACCATCACTATGCGCTGCTCCACGGCGCTCTTCGCCGCCAGGATCTGCGTTTTGGTGCCTTGCAGGAGCAGGCGCCGCTGGCCCTGAGCATCTTCCCTGCGCGCAACATTGGCTGAATTTGACATATAGAAACTAACCAAACCCAAGGGGTTGATATAGTGAAGGATGCCACAAACTCAAAAGGGAGCAGCGGTGGATATTGTGAAATTGCTGCTTCTAACCCAACTGCGAAATGCGGAGAAGGATTCAAAGGATTGTACAAAACTGCACAAGGACTTGCAGCATGCAACAAGAAAACCTCCCAAGCGGGTCAACCCCAGCCTGGCATTTAAGGTGGTAGACTTCACACCTTAGCGCGTCTGTTGGATGCTTTTGAAGCTTGCAAGTCTTAGAAGTAGCAATACTTTTCTGGAATAGCTCCCTAAGAGGCCAGTCTTTGCAAGTCTTACTGAGGCAAGCCACCTGTGGCTTGCTCGATCTCCTTGATTCCTGAAATGAGCTGGCAGGACAATGCATGCCAAGAAAAAAGGCAAGATTGCTTGAAATCAAAGTGATGAAGCAAACATAGTTCCTTAACACAATATATATATATATATGCATGCTGCATGGATAGGATATACATGGTCACCTCCTCCTCCTGTGGTCAACAGAAAGATCACATGCCGTGTGCCCTTTGATCGCACAGGTCACCAGCCCGGTCCCGCGCCTTTTCCTCCTTTGCCGATGACTGCGCCCATGGCCTTTGCATTGAGCTCAAGCTCCTCCTCCGCCTGGCAAGATAGCGCCGCTGGCAAAAAACAATATTAAAAACAGCCTTTGTTCTGTATGTGTGGCCGGCAATAAAGAACAACACCTCAGTTGTTGATAAATCAAGCGCACAACAATGCGAGCATCCTACTAACCAATTTGGGTCCTTCATTGACGTGGCCTGCGCTACTTATACATGTTCTTCGCCACTTCTTCGTGACTCATTTGGCTGAGTCCTCACCATATCTGCATGCATGTAGTTACATTCCTGCTCCGTCCCCTTCTCCCACAAAGGAAGCAGCTACGATTCAATGCATGTGACTTCGCCAATTTGTGCGCAAAACATGCCACCTGCGCATTGGCATCTTCAAAATCTGCCGTCAGCACTTGCGGGGGGATCATGGTCACCCAAAGTGCCGCATCGCCTGAGTAACGCAACTTGTAAATCCAATTTCAATTTTAGGCGCGTCTCGAATCCAAACGGCATTGAACGAACCCGGAACGGACATGAAGGGACCAAAAGATCTGTAGCAGGAACACAGCAGGAAATGATGCCATCGGAGCTGCCCTCAGTCTTCTGTACTGAAGCTGTAGCTTTTGCCAGGTCTTTTGCCTCACAGCCAGTCACAGGGGTTCCCCGTGGTGTCGCGCTTGGTGCTTTCTTGCTTCTACCTTGTCCCAACTAAAATAACCGGGCAAGGCTGCGCAAAAGGCTCCAACATATCTCGCTTCACAGTGCAAGCAACGAATTAACGCTGTTGAATCGGCAAAGAAAACCATGAACGCCATCGATGCCGATGAACTCTTCTGACAGTTCCCACCCTGATGAACTCTTCTCTCAGCCTCTGTGCTTTCGCTGGGGCCGCTGGGCATGTTGGGCATCTGGGACGGGGGCGCCGTGCCGGCGCCAGCCGGAGTCGCCCAAAGGAAGGTCATCTTCCCACGCTCTTTCCAGTGATACATGCAACCTGCAAAGGAGTGTCATGCAGTGTCCAAAACCTCTTCAAACCTCTTCAAGACGATTGGTGTCCAAACAGGACACCCGTTTTGTCAATGCTGTTGGGTCCAACGTGCTATCACATTTCAACCCGTGCCATTGTTAAAAACACACGAGGCACACAGTGGAATAAGGCAAAACCATTAGTAAGGCCAGGAGCCCCTAGTAGCGTCTGTTTTTAAACGATAATCTTGCGATTCTGTCGCATCCTGCAACTCCCGCTAGAGCCTTGAACGTCCGGCTCTACATACTGTGATCAAGAATGAAGGTTTTGGATTCACTGATCTTGCTGCCGCGCAAAAGCCTTGGGAGGTATTCCAGCAATACATCCTCAGTGGGGCTGCTCACAAGCTGTCTGATTGAGCTTTTTCCATATCGCTGACTCTCTGTGGCATCCTTGACTCCTGATTAACTGCAAATGCAAACGCAATGACGGGCAAACGATTCATTGCCGCAGTATACCACAGAAAACATTGGTCAGTCGCTGCTACAGGTTCAAAGAACCAACACTGTGACATTGCCAGGCATCTTCTGACTTGCAGAGTCGTACTTGAAGTACAGCTGTGTGGCCTGATCTAAAACCTTGGGACATCAAGACCAGCGCCTGTCACAAAACCTGGTCCTTTCGCACAAGCGTCATTCTCAAGAAAACTATCCATTCGAAATCGACGGTACCTGTGTGCAAAAAGTTCTGAACGCCAAGCAACCCACTTGTCCTTGGTAGAGTCTGCTAAGGGCCCACTGACCTCAACGCCAAGGTCTCGCAGTCCGATAGTGCGAAGGCCGTGCCATTCGAAGGAAGAACATCGCCAGTGCTGCGTTTATACCTAGATCTTCCAACGAGCAAAATCTCGGGCATATATATGTTGCCATTGCTTCTAGCTTGGAGGCCATCGCTAGTAGGTTGGAGGCCATTCCTATTATATAGATCTATTAGGTTCCTTTTGCTACATTTGGTTGGAGGCCATTGCTTGGCTGGACAGATTCGACCACCCACTGTCCACCCCATCGTACCGGATTACCACTGGGCTTTCGCACCGCTACGGCCTGCTTGATGAGCTCAGGGGTCGAAGCCTCCGCCAGAAAGGCGTTCCGGGACTCTGCCTGTGCCGGGCCAAAGTCAAGTTGATCTTCTACGTAAGCATCCTACCCACCCGGTGTTCTTGTCCCACCTTTCGAACACAAAGGTCTGTCTTTCCGTCATTTTTTTCCGTCATTTTCCACTTCTACGTTGACGAGTGGGAGGATACTGCCGACGAATGCCAGGGTACTATATATCTGCAGGGGAATGTAAATTTGGGCTCGCACATGAAACACACTGGTGGGACAGGTAGATCAAGAAAAGTCAAATACCATCAAATACATTCAATACCTATTGGAAGATTTGGAAGGCAGTTCCTTAGCTTTCGTATCTGCAAACTCCTCAGCCCAGTCTCTTAAGAGCAGGTTTTCAAACATTTGTCGTTACCAGTAGTGGACCCTAGCCACACCTCTACATTGACCTCATCATCCGCATCAGCCTCTTCCTCCTCTTCACCTGAAGACCGGAATCTTGCCCAACACACTTCCAAACCGTTCGGGACATCAACGTGCAAACATGATGAATGCAATGCATGTTCAGCTGCTTTCAGCGTCTCCTTCGTTGGCTTCTTCCGCAGGTGCCTATTTTGCAAGCCAAAATCGCAGTGCACACAAGTCTCCCAAACAACATCTTTGCAAAGTGGTCATCGGGGTGCTGGCCAAACATGACTCGGAAAACATGAGTTCATGACTCGTATCGTACTGCCAGCACAAAAAGCCATTGGCATTCCATTCGCACAAATTTCCTCTAGAACTCTACAATGCATGCCTGAATTACATATTATATATACAGTGCCTATACTACCGTAAAGTGACTCTCCACTACAAGTATATCTCTATATATATAGTATATAGTTATGAATGGATATGAATGGCATGTTTACATTTGATCGCTGGGGTCCTTCTCATCCACCTTGGTGCCGTCCTCTTTTGGTATATCTGCAGGCTCTCCTGAAGACTCACACAGCGTGAGTACAGGCTGCTTGCAGCAAACAAAAACAAGCATGCCTCAGTATGTGCCGGCTATGTTGGCTGTCACACGGCCAATATCTGAGCAAGCTCTCGTTGCAAAGCTCCAAAGTCTGGTATCAAATCGCTAGACGCCGCGATCACGGTGGCGCGCCTTCTTTGGATGGGACAAGTTGGCCTTTCGCAGCATCCCATATCAGCTGAACCTCTCTGCGGGTCTGAGTTCACTTCCTTCACATGCAAACTGTGCCCTACAAACATCTCTCAACAATCTCCGCGTTTATATATCCATGGTGCATATGGGGTTTTGTTAAAATGGGAGAACCCCAACCAAGCAACTTTGTTCAGTGTTCGCACTGTCTCGGTGGGTTGTTCACCTACTCCTAGTTCCAACATGTAGCTGCGGCCTGAGGCTTCTCGGACACCTCTGCTGGCAAGGCCTGCCGCATGTGCACCAGCCCAAAGAACATGTATGCCCACTACCACCACAGTCATCCAAAGTCATGCACGTCTGGTGCTTTTGCTGGTCCTCGTGCGCACTCATGTATTGCATGACTCGACAGTACCAGCTCTGGTAGAGTGCGCAAATCTTCCATCACCAGGCCTCCTCATCAGAGTCGTTTTCCACCACAGGGCCTCTCTGACGTTCCTTGGCGCCTTTCTTCTCGACCTGCGGTGCCTGATGTAAGGCCGTGCCCCCCTCGCCAGTCTCCACTGAAGGCAGGGGTGGCAGGGCCCTGGCACGGTGCACAGCACGGCATGCAAGCCTAGAATGGGGCACAGCCCCAAAAGTTTCCCTTCCATCTGACAATTTGTTCACTTTGAAAACGTTGAAAGAGCCAAGGAGTCGTTTCATTTTCCTTCAAACTCTTCTACAGTAATGCGCACGTAGGATTAATAAACCCCCCCCTTCAAGGTCAACAAGGTCAACAAGGTTTGAGATTGATGGTTTTGGAGACCACATCCCCTTACAGTAGTAAAGATGATGACCTGATGATGGATGATGAGATGAGGACCTGGACCAAATGATGGGTGATGGGTGATGGGATGGTGTGTGAATCATGAGAGTTTGAGCCATGAGAACCATGAAGGGTCTGAGTGTATGGGCACAAGTTTGATCAGAGATCAGTTTCACCATGGACCAAAAGATATTGAATACAAAAAAAGGTAATTAATAATAAATGAATAGAACAACAATTATATTTTTTGTCTGTGGGAGCTGGGCTTGATTAAATAGGAGGGTTTCTGGCAAGGAACAAAAATTATCAGGGGGGAGGTTGCAGGGTTCTAGTTAGTGTAGAGGCTCCAGCTGGGCAAGAGAATAGGGGGAGTTGGTTAATCCTAGGTGCGCATTATGTGCAACGAGCTGGGTATGTGTAATCACTCCAAGGTTCGTCCAGCCTTCCGTGGCTGACTGAAGTCAAGGTTAAAATCCCACGCCATGGCTGGGAGCAGGAGGGACAAACAAACGATGCTACTTTAGTTCGTCTCTTCATGTCTCTCTTCCAGCGTGTTCGGAGGCACCCCATTTTCTGCCCCAACAATCGAACCCATTCAAAGGACGAACCATTCAACAATGGCTGGCTGGGCTGTTGAAACATGTTTAGACCAGGACTCATGGCAAGTTGAGAAGCTTCACTTCTTACACTGCCTTACACACTTCTTACAGCTCTTGCATATGATTTCTTCTAACTCAACTGCCTCTTGGGTGACTCTTGAGCTTGGCTGCCTTCATGTCTATATGTCTTGGCTATGCTGGTCGCAGTGATGTGGGCCAACAGTTGCGGACAAAAAACACCATGGCATGGAGTTGGTCGCCTCACCAAAGCCAGCCACACATTGACCTCATCAGCAGCGTGAACTAACTAATGTGGCTCTGGGGATCTCTGAAGGACACGCAACACCACAAGACAGTTTGTCCCTAACACTTGAGGCGGACATTCCCTTGGAATGAATCAACCCCTGCACCGCCCCGGAAAATCGATCCAACTCCACCTCGTGATCTGAAATGCCTCTGCAAATCCGCCAAATTCAGCAGCTCCAACCGACCTCCAAACACGTGACATATCAAGGAGCTGCAAAGATGCAGGAGATCCAAACAAACATTGGCATCCGAGTAGCGTCACATCGTCAATCAATGTACTTGCAAGATCTTGAAATATCAAATGCTCAAATCCACCACCCGATGCTGAGGTCTTCACGAACTTCCTTCAGAATCCGCTCCACCGCCTATTCGGGTGCCGAGTGGTTGTCGCTGGCTTCTCATGGCGACAACCAGGTAGATCTTGTTCTTGCCAAGAACTGAAGCGTTGCCCTCCCAGCTGCCTATGCTGCTTGGAATCTTAGCCCTTGGAACAAAGGTTTGTGACCAAAAGCGGGGTGACCTGCACGGTGACCGAAGCCCTCGAAACCACGGATAGCCACTGGGGTGGTCTGGAACGTCTTATCGCCGTTCCTTCGGTTAGGCCTGGAACGAGGTGATCCTCTTGTCCTCAGTGCCATGAGGTGATCGTTTGCGTTCCCTACTGAAGTAGGGCCTACTGTTGAGTGACGCAAGGCAAAGGGATGTAGAGGGCATTGGAACTGCAGCACCACATGGTGAGAACATGCAAGCTCTGTCTCTCTCTCTCTCTCTTTCTTCATGCATCCCAATCAGTTGATGCTCGAAACATTTGGGTTTGAACAGCCCTATGCCCAAGCGCCAAACCCATACCAAATGGGAGGTAATTGTCCATGCGCCAGGCTGCATAAGTTCCACCCTCCCAAACCAATCATGAGCCCAGTAAGGATCCTCGTGCCAAATCATGAGCCATCCTGCTCTCAAATATCTGCGGATGAACTGCGAGCCTCAAGTGCTTCCTTTTGAGCCAAGTGGCTTGTCCAGCATCGCGCCATGCTTGCAGCAAGCGATGCTCCACCAGTGTTCGCACCTCAGTCACGCTGCCTAAAGTTTTACCCAAATGAGGAGCGCAGCTTGTTGATAACGCAACTCATCAGCACAAAGCCTGGAGGACTTAAATTCACAGCAGTAGTAAAGTTGCAACGATAACATTCTAAGGACACTTACCAGAGCCTCGTGCGACTTCTTGGCCAATCCTGTGCTAACTCTCCCTCTCTCTCTCTCTCTATCTGCAAACATGACTGAAGCTCAGTTGTTCCACAGGGCACTCTGACTGTAATAGCAGCAAGGAAAATCAAAGTACTACTGGCCGTCTAAGCTAGGAGCTAGCTGCTGCACTCTGCTGACCAATCTTTGCTTGGCCACTCTGGTGTCAGAAGCACGCTCCACAAACCAACAGGCCTTCTCCCTCTGCCTTCAATCCCAAGCGCTCTTTGCACTCGGACCTTGAAACGCAAGGCTTCAGAATGCAAACGCCCCACAGTGTTTTCCTACTATGGGGGCCAAACCGGTAGGTAGCAACTGAACACTGCGGAACAGATTCTTCTTCCTGGGTTCAAAAATGTTCCAAACTTGCTTGTTGAGTAAGTTCATTGCTTCTTCACTTCACCCTGTGATCACATGAGGCCCCGGACTGCAAAAGATCTGTGGACATGCGCTGCCACACCAGGTAGTCCTCCGAAAGGCAATGGTCAAAAAGGACTGAGATGAGCTCTTGGAAATGCCAGTTGTTTGTGAGGCTTTACGACCTCACGATTCCTTGCATGTCAATAAAGCAACCTTGCTCAGCACTCAAAACCTCAAAAGCCTACCTTACCGCTCATCCTGCGTAAAACATGTGTCTAAGAATGAAGATTCAAAGTGAACATCAGCACAAAGTGTTCATTGCCGAGGCAAGGGTCCGTGAGGCAAGCGATCATGTCTGCTTTGTCTCCCAGCACGTGAAAGGGCACCTGAAAGGAGCCTCGGACCAGCGACTGAAGAGAAAATCGCCCCAGGCCTCCAAAAGGTACTTTCTATTTCAGGTGTGAGAAGTTCCTGATATAAAGTAGGAACTGCCGGACAAAAACAATATCGTGTCGCTCTCCGCTGATAACAAGGTTTCCACGCGCCAAAGCCTCCAACCCTCAAAGTAGCTCATGAAATTAGCCACACGGAAGTCATACCAAATCAGCAAACCTATGAAAAGCGACTGTTGTGACAAATCCTATCAGGCTCCGATGGTTGCACACCATGCAACACCTCAATGATCCGCTTCAACGTCAATGCGTCGTGGCCTGTCCTTCTCACGATGTCGGACTACGACAAGCGACAAAGGGCACCCGGGCGGCTCTTCTCCCTCAAACTCTCCAAGCCTTGAGCCTCAAGGGCCTCCACCTGTGGCGGATGCTGGGGGGGGGCAGTGAGGCCACGATGGGGAACACAAGCATTGCCTCATTTACATCTTGCAAGGCTTACACGGGTCATTCCATGTCAGTCCAATCTTCTGCAAAGTTCGGTTGACATGACGCCTATCGAACATCTGAATGCAGCCTTATCGAGCAGGTCTTGTGCCATTGTCTCGTGCTCGATCTTGTCCAACCTGAAGGCAAGGGCCCTACGTGCCGAACCAACACGCACTGATCCTGCCTGGGCACACCCATGAACTTCGCCTGTGCATTATGGGAGTAAGAATCGTGACGGCTGCAATGGACTGTTTCAAATCCAAAACCTCACCGGTTTCCCTTTTTTCCATCGGTTCTTGGGTGGTTGAGCTTTGTGCCAAGTTGGAGGGTTGTCAGGTTGCAGGATCACGCATGGACTGGCGCCGAAATGACCATGCCCCAATCCACCCAGATTGGCGTCAAGTGGCGGGATGCCCCGTAAGCGCCAGGACTCTTCTCGCAGCAAGCGCCTAAAATAGTAGGGAGTTGGGCGGCATCATGCGGCAACACTTCACACCGTTTAAACGATGACCCCACTCAGTACTCACATACAGTATCTGACGGTAAAGGAACTGAACATAGAATCATAGAACACCCCCAAAACACTTCCATTACAACTACGATACAATGATCACCCTGCCACAAGGCATGCACAAGGCATGCAGTATACAAACCTCCTAGCTCGAGCTTATCATCCACGTAACACACACACACACACAAACACACACACACACACAGAGACACACAAACACACACACACACACCTACCCATCCTGTCATTCTCTCACCACAATGAGGGCTGGGCAGCAAGCCTGCACCTCAACGAAAAACAAGAGAACAACTGCGCGACGAACATGACTTTCCAAAACGAACAGCAGGGAACCGGCAATCGAGCCGCCCAGGTGATGCGTCTCCCAGCCCAAACCAACAGCCAAAGTCATTCTCGGCTACTTCCCAGGCAGGCCAAGGTGCCTTTTTCAACACCTTCACAAAGTGTGAATCTGGACAGAAGGTGCCATCAATCATGCGCTAACAAATCTTGCTTCCTAGGAAAACGCACCCTTTGTTAATTGCTATTTGCTACTAGGCACTTCCTCTGCCTTTGCGGCCCACAGCCCACAGCCCAGACCCCCACGTCGCTGATCGCCGCGAATGGCCAAACCCTTGTCCTGGCGCGGAGAGCGGGTGAACACCGAGAGGCACGGCGTTCGACTGCCGAGAGGAAGGTCTCTTCCTGTTCTTCGTTCGACCCCCCAGGCATGTCTGTCACGAGTCTTTTGCACAGCGACCTCTCACCTCAGGTGAAAGCGGCAGGGCGTCAAAGAAGTGGGCCGGGCGAAGCCAGGCAACATTCTCAGAAAGGAAACCGCCTTTAACGGACCCTTAACTCTTTAACTGCCATCAAACCCGTCGATATGCCACCAAATATTCTGGATAGATGCGATTTCCTTCGAAGATCACAATCTCGCGAAAGCGGGCCACTGCTGCTCCATAGGTTTTGCCAGTACACAGGTTGACAAGGAGAGAGTGGTATGAGAAAGAAGGGGACGTGCCTGGAACGCGAGCCAATTCGCGGCGGTCTGCGGTCAAAAAGACCTCCTTCCCTGTGATTTCATCCTGGAGACGTTTTTTTGTCAAGGCCAGTTGTCTGGAGGCAAGCACCACAAGTAGCACGCACCAGGAAGCAGTAGAAAATGTTGTCATCATCAGGGTGGTGGTTCCCACCTGCCCGGTAAAGCCGTGAGTGAAGCTCCTCCAACCCAGGGGTCCCAAGCCCTGGGTCAGGCCTGGTATATTGATCGATTTTTTCAGGGTCCTCTGCCAAGTAGTTTCCGGCACCGAAAATCCCTTTCAAGCTTGATAGCTTTTCTGTGAAGCCCTGGTGAAGGATGTCCAACAAACGCTCTGGACTTGTGCCATGTAGCAAGTATTTCTCTCCAACCTCATCAAAGAGTTCGCCTGGCATGGACTGACTTGCATCATCCAATCGGCTGTCCCACGAATCCAAAGCAAGTTGATTCTTGCGAATCCTTTGACAGAAGCATGAAGCAATAACCCAACCCCAAACATCCCAAAACATACAAAACATTACAAAACAACAAGCTTGACACTCAAAAGAAATCCTGTATAATACTGCAGAACCACAAAAAATGAAAGGTGGACATTCTGCAGCTGAACATCTGGCACATATTCCGCATCACGTCATTCCGTTCTGCCGCGTATTTGGGCCACAAACTCTCATGCTCAATGCGCCAAGCGCAATGCACCACCAGATTGGAATATGTCTGATCATATGTCATGGCGTCCCTTCCTTTCCCCAGCTCATCAGGCTGCCGCACTACAAACATTCTTCTGATGGTCCGTAGCTCGTCCCCAGCCACTGGATGTAGCGCCCACCCTTGCTCGGGCACTGGCAAATAGGACCAATACTCTGGCATGCAGGTGGGCAACTTGTTTCGACCCACCTGAATGACACTAGCAGCCGTGGGTGCTGACGCACTTGCCGTTGAAGTGCCTATCTTGCTCGACTCTGGAGAATTGGGGTTGGTCGAACTTGCTTCGGGATGCACATGCGCATGGGAACGAAGCCGCAACCATTTCATGCACAAGATGGCATACCAAACGCAAAGGACAAGATCACAACACGCGAACAGACTCAAACCAGTGATGACAAACCAATCCTCAGGTCGACTTCCAAATCCTGCCACGGTCGTGACGGTTGTGACTGTGGTGGACGGTTGAAACTCGCAGGAATCCTCATGAGCCACTTCGAGGTATGCCTTGGTTGCTGCCGTCTAGAGTCTAAAATCATCCTTTTTTGTGGGGGGGGTGGAATGATTGAAAGTGCAACTTTCATCCAGCACTGAAACAATGACTTGGAAAACATACAGTCCCCCAAAAAGCAAACTATTCGGCTCACATTCATGTTGATAACAAACTCCATGATTGAAACCAGTTTCAGCCATGCTTCCCTCAAACAAAGTAGTATATGCTGTCCACGGGGATACCGGGGGATTCCGCCTATTATCACCATGAGCTTAGCCATGCTTAGCTGCTTGCCTGCACGTGGAATGAATGCCTCCACTATCCGCAAATCTAAATCTACCTACCTCTCTTGAACTCTCCAGGGGTCAACTGTCTACCTAATCTTGTTCGGCATCTTTCTGTCAACTCTCCGGGGGACATTGCGGGTGTCGCTGAAGCGTACCCATCGTTCTTGGCATGACCACAGGTTGGGATTCTGCCATCTGCCTTGACGCATGCAAGCTTGCCTCCTGCAGGACTGAAGATGTAAACAACTCAAGCAACAGTCGGGATCCCCCTCGATGGCATCACATGGAACAAATCCAGACATGATGAGCAGATCCGAGTCACATCGAGTCACGGCACTCGTTCCTTTGAGCCGACCACGGGCGGCGGTGATGCGCGTAGGGGTGGACTGGTTGGGGTCAACAGCATCGCCACACTTGGATCGGTCACGCGGGGAAAGGAGCCTGATCTGGCCAGCAATGTTGCAATGTCTTGTCTGTGGTTTATATATTTCATTTAGTGATGATTCCAAGATATCATATCTGTTTCAATTATATAGTAATATTGGTGTATGTTTAGGACATCAAGCAACAATGGCGTGATGTGATTATGCACAGCATATTATTCATGTTTCTACGGTCTTGAGATGAGTTTGAAGTTATTTTGACAGGCTACGTTCATAAAACATTTGTATATCGATGTCTTTTCGGCATCACATGAATTTGAATTTGAAGAAGAATGGCAAGTCGTATTGAAATCGATCAAGCAGTGTCCCGCCAAATCTATACACCACACTAGCCAATTATATATAAGTATAGTTATTGATTTGTCCTCTTAATTTCTCCAAAGTGACGCCGCAACACACACACACATCAAAAGCATTCCCAAGTGGGAGGAAAAGCCGGCAACTCGGTTTCCTTGCAAAGGCTCCGAAGTGCGGAAAGAGGAAGCTCCGACCACAACAGCAGCTCGGACCTTGGGTGGCTTGGACCAGTGGAACTATGTGGAACTCCCTTCTCATCACATCTGCGGCAACAAAGCATCTGAATGTGGGCATGTCCAGTCCTTGAGTTTCCGGCAGTTGCTTCACAAGGTCAACCTTCCACCAGGTTGACTCTCTACTGCTGTGTAAAGAAAATATGGTGGTTAGTTTTATGTTTCTTGCGGCATGTGGCGACAGGATCAATGACCAAGTCCTAGTCAGTCAGCCTCGTGCTTCGAGGAGCTTGGGCCGGAACTGGTAGCTTCTTCCGGGAACTCTTTGCTGAGGAGGTTAAGAGACCAACAAGAAGCATCCAACACATGCTCCCCAAACAGCCCAAGGCTGTGGATCCACCACATCCAAAAAGCACATCCAACACCAACTCCACACCCTGCTGGCGCCTTTGAAGCCTTCGCCAACGGAGCGACCCGATGTTTCCTCGCCAAAGGCGTCAAAACTCATGACTCGCTGTGACATTGGCCAAACTCCCTCGTCAAGACCCCGTAATTGCGGAGGACTTTTCTGGAAAATCCGTGTCTTCATAACAACAGGTGTGAATGTGGCATCGCAAACTCGAGCCTCAAGCCTGACTTTTCAGAGACGGTAAAAGACACTGGCGTGCAGGTAGAGTGGCCGTGCACCCAATGAGATGGTACAAAGGACTTGTCGGAGCAAAGGCATTCAACGTTTGGATTGTAAGGATTGCCTCTGCCCCCTTAAACTGGTTCATGTTTCACACTAGGTCCTCAAATCCTCCATCACCAAATCGATTGAGCAATGGAGGTGCACTATGATTATTGGAGAGGTTGCAGTAGCTGCACTATGCCCTTCCCCCAAACCCGAAGCACACCGCGCTTTCTGGACTGTCCTGCACTCAGTGCGCAGCTCCTCTACGGACATCCTCTCCAAGGTGCTTCGAGCATGAAGCCTTGAATCAGTGGATCGAAATCGAAAGAACAAGACGGAGCAATGGAATCACAAAGCCATATACATTGAAAGGATGAACCATCACAATATACATGTTCATTGGCCATTGGCCAACAATTTAAAGACATTGTCACATGAATGTCATAGTGCCATATATGATCAGAGCCATGTATATATTATATATACCATGTATATATTATATATATATATATTATATAGAACCCGAAAACATGGACCACTAGAAGACGATCTTTCCCCAGGAGGAGTTCAGGTTCTAAGCTTGACTTACCCCGTGTATGAAGTACTCTTAAAAAGCCTTAAGGATTTGTCTTTGATCAATACGGAACCCTTATGGGAGGTTTGTAGGTGATTTTATCAGGAACCTGGTTGACGAGTCAACTGAACCTGGGTTGGCCCAATGCCCATCCAACTTATCGGCCACATGCTCGCCGCACTTTCACAAAAGGCTCTCTTTTCGTACCGCCAGGGGCAGCGTCAGCCTGCTCCATGCCCTGTGCTGACGGCGAACCTGAATCGGAAAGGAACATGAGTGACGTATCAGAAGCAAACAAGCTGTTGCCATCTCGGCAGGTTTAAAGGCCACGCAATGAAGCCACTTTTCGTGTACTTCCATAAAAACTCGGAGTTCGTTTCTGCATGTTGGGTCACTGAGCTGGCATCCCACAATCTGGTGATCTCACAGCTCCCCAGATAGCATGCTGCCTTTCAAGCCTGGCCCATCGGTACTCTCAGGTTTCAGATCAATGAGTCTCACGTGAAGGCGTCACGATCAAGCCGACCTTACCTCTACGCACAGTTTGGCATAACAAAAAATAAAAGGATCACGAGTCTCAACCATTGCCTCACAGCCGCTTGACGCTTGGAGGGTAGAAACTTTTCCTGAAAAACAAGCTATTGACAACCCAAGTTTATTTTATTTGCAGGCAAAAGCATGAAGAATATTAGATGAACCTGTACAAACTCCTGTACACATATGAAAAACACTGGATCATGTTTGTATATCTTTGATTGCTACCGTATTCAACATTGTTTTGCTAACTGTTTTACGCCCTATTATCTACATGAACGTCGATAGCAAAACAATAAAGACCCTTGGCGCTGGCCTCCACTCATGATGAGGAAGCTGACAAAGGCCATCATTGCAATCAGCAAGAGCAAATACCTCAAACGGCTTGGGCCTATGCATGCTTGACCAATCAACACCTGCCAGCCGACTGTGAATCAACATGGTAGTAGCTTCCAGGCTTCCCATTGTCAATCATTGTCAAGTTGTCAAGTGAAAACGATGTTTCAAGATGTTTCAACGTCTCTGTTTAGGCTCGGTAGAAAAGCTCTGCTGTAGATCCCCGGCGAAGCATGGCCCTTGAACAATGGCCCTGGGTGTGTCAACAATAAAAACAAATCTCAGTCAGGCCCGTTGACTCTCCAATTGAGTGCGCAGGCGGCGCATTTGAGCAACGCATGACTGGCAGAAAAAGCGTTCGCACTCGGTAAAACTCTCGGTTCGAAGCGATTGAAGTCAATTGGCATACAGTAGGATCGTACTATTTGGCCATCAAACTGACAACAACTCCACGACTCCCATAGTCCAGCTACAGGAAGGAAAACCCTCCACCACCCTTGCAAGTCAGCCTCAGGAGCGAGGCATGTGTGAAGCATTACTGAATGGCCCCGCTTGAGTTGTTTGCCCTGAAAAGCTCATACATTGTCATAAGTTGTCATACATGAAGTAAAGACATGAAACAACAACACTCGCAACACTGTTGGAAAGGGAATCCTTTGTCAAGCTACACTGCACATCGGCCGGAAGAACAGCCGCAGGCGGCACCACAAATGATGAACATATGATGAACCTATTTATGCCAATTCTTCATGGTTTAGCACTCAAAACCTGACAAAAACAACTCGCCAGTAACGAAGTTGTAACATGGTGTGAGGTACAACTTTGGAATGGAGGATGCGCCAGCAAATATCGAAGTTCGGCCCCACATGACCCCAATTTCATCACCCCTCACTCTATCTCAGCTTGTTGATGTGCAACTACCAAAAACATGTGGGCACCTTCGAGACCTATGCCTGATCCCGCGGAGTGGACGTCACCTGGCTCAAGGAACCTGAGAAAACAAATCCTTCAGAATTCCTAAGGTCCCTAGTTCCTACATATTCATACATGCATATTCAATCATATTCACCCATTCATCTACAATGATCTTCCATATTCGACTGTCGCTACATCGAGTCTCGGATCGACAGGCCACGCTAATCGCTTCATCCATTCCCCCTACTGCTGCCATGCCCCCCTACTGCATGCCACGCAGCAGGTTGATGGATCGATCACCACTACCGGAGACAGCCGTGGACCCCACGAAGGCTGCGCAAGGCGCGGGCAGCTCGTGCACCTACAAGCGACGGCGAAGGGAGGAACCAAACAACCGGCCTGAAAATGGACGGTTGAAATTCTGAAAGGGGTGACTCACAAAATGCCACGAAATGCATAATATGCATGCAACTCATTTGACATTCGTGACTCTTCCAAACATGGGTTCCACTGAGTGAAAGGATGCAAATGGATCCAAGCGACATTCTCCACCTTTTTGAGGCCTCAGTGGTGCCCATTGCCAGGAAACTATGATGTCAACATTTCACATAACTTTACTTCGAGTGATCCCCACCATGACATTTCAATATATTTCAATCATTTCATGATGTTGCCGTGGTCGTGAGTTTTGTGGTTTTCGATTTTGCTTGTGAGGGTTTGGGATTGCTATTTTAGTGTTAGTGAGTTCGCGGCGGGGTGTCGCCAGGGTGCACACCCTGTTGTCGTTGTTTTCTTGTAGTTGTGTTTGAGTCTTGTGGTTGCGTCCTGTGGTTGTGTGCTGTGATTGCATTGTGGTTGTGTGTTTGTGGTTGCGCTCGTGGTTTCTGTGTTTGTGGTTGTGAGTTCTGGTTGTGTGTTTGTGTTGTGTGCTTGTGACTGTGGTTGTGCTTGTGGCTGTGTGTTTGTGATCGTGTTTCTGGTCTGCGTTTGTGTGGTTGTGATTGTCTGTTTGTGGTTGTGTGTGTGGGGGGTTGTGTTTGTGATTGTGCTCGTGGTTGTGTTCGTGGCTTGTCTGTTTGTGGTTGTGTAATTATTGTGGTTGTGCTTTGTTGGCTGCGTATTGTGTCTTTGTGGTGATGTTGTGTGTTGAGGTCCGGTAGTGCCCACTGCGATCTGGCGCTGGCGGTGGGGGTCCGGTAGTGCCACTGCGATCTGACACTTGCTGTCGGCCTGGCACTTGCTGTTGATGTCTGGTAGTGCCCACTGCGATCAGGCATTTGCTGTTGAGGTGCGGCAGTGCCCTCTGTGATCGCGCGCTTGTGGTTGAGGTCCGGCAGCACCCACTCCAATCTGGCACTTGCTGTTGAGGTCCGGTGGTGCCCACGTGCCCACTGCGATCCAGAGCTTGCAGTTGCAGTCGTGGTGGCGAGGAGGAGGAGGAGGAGGAGGAGGAGGAGGAAAACTCTGATAGCATCTAACAGCCCCCACCTGGCAGGTGGGGAAAAACATTAAAGTAAAACAATATAAAACGATGGTAAAACGTAAGCCCCAGCCGTCATACCATGCACTTT